AAGACCACCTGTGCGATGCAGGTGTGTAGTGGGAATCCTCTCCAGCTGGCAAAAACCCAAGAGTCTCTGGGGTCACTTTAGCTGCTGAGCCTCAGGGGGAATGGCACTCAAGGAAACTCCAGAGATCCAGGGCCAGCACTGATATAGTGTCTCAAGGTTGCTGCTCTCGGAATACTTTTCTCAACCGATTAAGAGTCATACTCTGGCAAAGTCTCATTGGTGGGAAGAGCACAGGCATATGATAGACAGCCCAGGGAAGGGGTTGTTCCCAAAGGGCAGCCAGAACTATTGGCCAGGTAAGGAAGCACAGCCACCTCATCTCTGGCACCAAGCCTCCCCCACAGCCCCATGTCTTTGGCACCAGTGAGCCAGCTGGAGAAATGTTGCATATTTATCCATGTTCATATATCCAGAAGAAGAAGAAAAGAGGGACTCTGGGAGGAGATGAACAACTTGAGGGTCTGGTTGAGGAAGTGAAAGGACATTGGGAAATGTGTTTGTGCTCCATGCTTTCTACAGGGACAGAGAACATGAAGACAGGGAACGACACAGCAGCCTTCTCTTACTTCCAGAAAGCCGCAGACCGAAGCTACAGCAAAGCACAGTACAATGTGGGCTTGTGTCTTGAGTATGGCCGAGGCACCCCTAGGGACCTCAGGAAGGTACTGTCCCATCCCCAGACCCAGTGAGCTCAAAAAATAAGTAGTACACAGAAGGGGTTAATAGTTCTACTTCTCGGGGCTGGAGAGATGGCTCAGAGGTTAAGAGCACTGGCTGCTCTTCCAGAGGTCCTGAGTTAAATTCCCAGCAACCACATGGTGGCTCACAACCATCTGTTATGAGATCTGGTGCCCTCTTCCGGTGTGCAGATATACATGGAAGCAGAATGTTGTTTACATAATAAATAAATAATTAAATAAATAAATAAATAAAATCTTTAAAAAAAAATCTTAGTTAAAAAAAAAAAAGTTCTACTTCTCCCCCTGACTCCATTGGAGCCTAGCTGTGATTCCAAAGTAAGCCCTCCTAAATTATAGAAATGTACAGGGAGGGCAGGCATTTTACCTTTCTTTGCAACTGTACTCTCAGAGCCTAGATTGCACCTTGATAAATAGGTTAATTTTAAGATAGAAAGGTAGGTATGCAAGGTTGTCATACATAAAATATTTATTTTGTTGAACTGTATGTGAAAGATAAAGGGAAAAATCAACTTGCTGTTCTTCTATGTCTACGGGACCTTAACAATGATATATCAGATCTATGTCAGCAAAGGTATTCATGGTATACTGTTATGTCTCTTTCTCTGTATGAGTGTATATTCATACATAAATATAATGTATAGGGCTGGAGAGATGACTCAGTGGTTAAGTGGACTGCTCTTTCAAAAGACCTAGGTTCGATCCCCAGTACCCATATGGTGGCTCACAACCACCTATAACTCCAATTCCAGGACCTGACATCCTCTTTGGCCTCCACAGGCACCGCACACATGTGGTACACAGACATACATTCAGGCAAAACTCTCATGCATACAAAATAAAAATAAAATAATGTATAACGTATGCACATGTACATAAACATACATGTGCAAATGTATACATGGTGTGTGTAACAGATCCATGGGGGGAAACTTGGAAGCATATGCACTAAAATTTTAATAATGAATGATCTTAATTGAACATGGTAACATACACCTGTAATTCCATCACTCTAGAGGCTAAGGCAGAAGGATCCCTGTACATTTGAGACCAATCTGGGATATATAGGTAATAATAGGTTGCAGGAATTCTATATAAAGACTCCCTCTCAAAAAGACAATAGATCAAAGACAAACAAAAAGTCCTAATGCTCTTTAGGAGGCAGGATATCTTGGGGTTTTACATTTATTTTTTTTTTGGGTTTTTTTTTTTTTTTTTTTTTTCTTAGATTTTGACTTGACAGCATTTACCTGACTAACCTATAATGATTATGTATTTATTTGAATGATTTTTAAATTTTCACTTAAATAAAGAGACAAATTACCAGCAAACTGATTATTTCTCCTGTTGCCCCAGGCTATCCTCTTTTACCACTTGGCAGCCATCCAGGGCCACAGCCTAGCTCAGTACCGCTATGCTCGGTGCCTATTGCAAAGTTCAAGCTCTTTGTCAGACCCTGAGCGGCAGAGGGCAGTGTCTATGCTGAAGCAGGCCGCAGACTCTGGCTTGAGAGAGGTGAGTGCGACTGGTGGGGTCTATTCTAAGTGAGGTATGCAGAGTCTGAAAGTGACTAAGATGCCCTTTTCCTTTCTCCCTGATAGGCCCAAGCTTTCCTTGGGGTGCTTTTTACCAAGGAGCCACACCTGGATGAGCAGAGAGCAGTGAAATACCTTTGGCTGGCAGCCAAGAATGGGGTATGTATGAGATCTCTGGTCCATGTGTGTTGGAGATCAAGTCTGATAAGAGATTTGGGAACTGTTTCTGAGCTATGAGCTCTTGGTACATTTTCCAGGAACTAGCCAAGCCATGGATTCCACTGACCCACTGTGTGACCTTTGACAGGGCCACTGGGGTGCTGAGCCTAAGGGAGGTGATACTTGGACTTAGACATTGTGAAGTGTGCCACAGCAGGGCTCCTCTCTACCAGCCACCCAGCCTGTTGCTTGCTACACATTCAGCACATATTGGGCCATCACTCCTTTTTTTGTTGTTGTTTTGTTTTATTTTTTGAGACGGGGGTTTCCCTCTGACAACCTTGGCTGACCTGGAACTCACTCTGTAGACCAGGCTGGCCATGAACTCACAGAGATCCATCTGCCTCTGTCTCCCAAGTGCTGGGACTAAAGGCCTGCGCCATCACTACCCAGTTGGCCATTACTTCTTTATTTGGACCTGTTTGATCACCTTTAAAACAAGCATAATAATTCCCACTTTGACTGTCTGCTACTTCACAGGGTTATTGGGAGTATCAGACCAAGGTGACACATGTGTGAGGTCTCTCTAAGCTATACCCATGACTAGTCATTGTGGTGGCCTGGGGAAGTCAGACACATATGAGAGAGGGATACTTGATTGTCTGATCTGGGTGTTGGCATTCAAGTGGCATAGCCCAGTTTGTTCTACAGGGAATTGGTTCTGTGGGATGTTGATGAGGAATGCCACAGGAATGATTATTTGGATCTCAGGAGCACTAAGTGAAAATAGTTGTTTTGTGTGTAGACAACCTCACTGTGAAATGCCCAGGTGATCCGTGGTTCATTGATTACTGTTGTACCTGGCAGGGTCAGGAGTCCTGCAGGCAGTGTGCACAGTGTCATTTCCCTGCATAGGACACTATTGCTTCTCTTTGTTCTCTGACCAGCATACTGATAGCATTATTGCATCAGAATACTTAACCTCAGCTACCCTGCGCTGCCCATAGTACCTGTAGTCCCTGACAGAAGAGGACGGCTAGCAGCAGCTAGTAACTCTTCCTCCTCAGGAGGAGTGGGTCTGCTGTCCATATGCCGGGTACACACTGGGCCTTCTGGCCTGCTAGGGTTAGACCAGCATGCAAATGGGATACCTGTCACCTGCTGTGGAGCACTGTTTTGGGATGTAGCCCTTCCACTCTTCAACCTTTCAGAAACTGGATTGGTCACTGGGGGGCTTATACTGAGTAGTGTTGTGGGGGTAGAGCTTAGGTCTTACATATGCCTGTTGCTATAGTCTGCCCTGGCCTGCAGCTCCAAATCTATGATATTTATTATGGACTTTGGCCTTCGTGTCACTTAAGTGGGAACAGATTATGTGACAGAAACTTGTGGCCCATAAAGGAGCAATGGGACCATGGTTAGGACTCTATAGAATTCTTTTGATTAAGGGATTATATATGATAAGACCTCTCTGGTAAGGGAGGAGAGCACAGTGGTGTGAGAAGCCGGAGGGGAGTATGGTGCTAGTGGCACTGACCTGAGCACGTTCCATACAGAGAAGCCTAAGTGGGCAGTGCTTCTGTTACCCCTGTCCCATAGGTGAGGAAACTGGGGCACCTAGGTTGGAAGCCAGGAAGGTTAGCTCTGCAAGTCAGGCTCCCAGTGCCTACTTCTGTCTCACAGAGGAGTGCACATCAGTGAGGAGACAGGTACAGGCAAGGAGCAGAGCCTCTGAAGAAGACATGCTTGTGCTGTGTTTCTGTTTCGAGGTCCTCTCAGGTGGACCTGGCTTTGGGAAATCTATGCACACTGGACTTCTGCTCTGTCAGAGGCCAAAGCTTGCCTCTCAGTATCCTTCCCATCAAGGGCCAAACCCTTCTGAAGTCTTTTTTCAGCCAGTCCCAGCAAGAGAAGCCTTCACACTGGTGGGGTCAAATCTCCCTAGGCAAAGGGACCTAACTCCTCAGACAAGCACTGGGCCTCTAACATTTCATGGTTGAGGAGCTTGGAATGTGGCAGGCTGCATGGATGAAGGCTCAGCATACCTGCCTGACTCCACCTCACTCCTGGCTAAGCATTCCAGCTCTTCAATTTGTCTGTCTTCTCCTTTAGGACTCTCAAAGCAGATTCCACTTGGGAGTCTGCTACGAGAGGGGCCTTGGTGTTCAGAGGAATCTGGGCGAGGCTGTTAAGTGCTACCAACAGTCAGCAGCTGTGGGGAATGAACCGGCCCGGGAGAGGCTTCGGACCCTCTTTAACATGGAAGCAGCAGGTAATGCAAGCCAAGGTCTGGTTCCTTCCAAGCTTAGTGCCCTCTAACAACAAAGGGTGGTAGCCCCAGGTCTCCTGGTTAGTCCTGACCCCAGTAATAATTAGAAGTCCAGCTTTCAGAGTGAGATAATCTTGTGTTTTGACCTCTACTGTCCCAGAGCTGGGTCTCCTTTCCTTTCAGCCTTGGTTTCTTCTCTGACAATCAGAGAAATAGTAGAACTTAAGTCCTTAGCTTATTGTAAGCACTACACTTGAGGAAAATAACAGGCTTAGCACAGCCAGTCATGGTGGTACACGCCAGGAGTTGCAACATTTGGGATGCTGAGACATCCATTCCTGGGTTGGCTCGGGTAACATAGCAAGACACTGCCTTTAAAAAAAAAAAGCATAGCATAGTCTAGCACACAGTAAATATTCAGTAAACCAGCAGATGATTGTTGCTGTCATTTTTTTAGGAGAGCCAATGTCTTGAGGCTGACAGGTACCTCTCTAGGGCTAGGAGAGCCCCACTCCTGAGTCACTGGGGCTAGGCCCCATTAGCAATGCCAGGGGAGCCAGGTCCTGTATGAAACCCCTGCTCTGCCAGCTGTGGTGCTGCACACCTTTAATACCAGCACTGAAGGCAGAGGCAAGTGGGTCTCTGAGTTTGAATTGAGACCAGTATAGTCTGCATAGTGAGTCCTAGGACTATGTAGAGAGTCCCCATCTTAAACAAAGACCCTGCTAGGAGAACTGTATGAATAAGCATTGCTATCACCTCTTTTATTTAGCCCCAGGGCCCATCAACCTGACCATGACAGGACTGAAGTCTTTCTCCAGTCCCTCCCTCTGTAGCCTGAACACCCTGTTGGCAAGTGCCTCGGGCCTCCCTCATGCCTCAAGCACTGGGAACCTTGGCCTCCTCTGCAGAAGTGGCCATCTTGGAGCCAGCCAGGGAGCCCCCAGCAGGACTATCCCATCCTTGGAAATGAATCTCATGAGACTGGGTTTCGGCTAAGGTGAGATAAAACACAGCCCTGGCTGGGAAGAGAGTGGACTGGAGGTTGGATGGCAAAAATTGGGTGTTAGTACTCCTTCCTAAAGTAGCAATTCCAGTTGGTACTCAGATACCTACCTACTTGAAGTACATGGCTAATCAGCTTTGTCATTTTTTTCCATTTGGTAACCTCCCAAGTAACACACACATACACACACACCAAAAAAAAAAAAAAAAAAAAATCACTCAGTGACCCCAGAAATCCCGTTTGTTGCCTTTGCCTTTGTTTTTGAGCAATAACTAACTCTGTTCCTGTGCCTCAGTTTCCCCATACTTAGATCATATCATAGTCTCCAACAACCCTTGCTGTGCATGCCTCTGGCAGTTGACAAGAATTTATGTGGCATGTAAATCAAGATGCTTTCCTTTAGTAGTATATTTAATATAGAACGCCAAGTATAATGAACAAATTAGCCTGTAATTCTTTTTCACTTAAGCTAACCTTAAAAAAGAAAGAAAAGCAAAGAATCGACTTAAAACAAAGCATCCTGTTAAATGGAGTGCAGATCCAGAAGGTGACAAAAGTGTAGAAGTGTTCCCATGAGTGACTGAAGCTTGGGAAGTCCTGAGTGTCACCGACATTCTTGCCTTTTCATCTGCAGTGGACTCATTATTTTCACCTTTGGTGTGGAAGGGAGAGGTTGCCTGATGCTTACATGTGTCTGTTTGAATATTTTTCAGACCTCCACCTTAACAATGGAGCCTGAGAGAGAGTTCTCAGAGATATTACAACTTGATTCCCAAAGAGGAGGCCAGGTAGCTACTCACCTTCCTGGAAACCTTCAGCACCTCCCCAGCACCATAAAGAAGAATGCTGTAATGACCTCAGTTCTGGCTCTGCCACTGGCCTGGCTGTGTCACCTGGAAGCAGTGACCTAATTTTCTAACATTCTTTTCTCAATTGTAGACCAAGGATAGTAGCATGTGCCCTCCTGCCTTAAAGGACTGAGGTGCAGCCATTTCACTGTAGAAAGGACCTTAGTCCTTGATTAGGTTCCTGAAAGAGTGGTGCCCACACTTCTATGGCCTTCAAAGTCAGAAGGCCACCAGGTGTGGTGTGAGCGCCTTTAATCCTAGCACTTAGGAGGCAGTGGCAGGGAGATCTCTGTGAATTCAAAGCCAACCTGGTCCACAAAGAGAATTCCAGGACACCCAAGGCTACATAGAGAAATGCTGTCTCAAAAAACAAAACAAAACAAGAGACCTGGAAGAGGATCAAAGCTGACATCATGACTCCAGCCAAGACTTCTGGTCTGCCAGTTCACACTGTAGTGTCATTTGAAAACATTATCATCACCCTGCAGGTGTGGGGGTGTCAGTAGAGATTAGACACCTGGAGTCTTGGAGTCAGAGAGTAGAGACCGTGAGTCCTTTTGGGGAAAGGTCAGGTAGGAATGTACAAGTGTTTAATAAAACAGATGGTGGATTATCTCCTCACTCTTGCCCTTGAGTGTGTAGGGGAGAGCCAGGAAGATGGGCAGGGGGAGCTGAAAGCTGAGGCTCCATCCTCATCTCTAAACTCTCCATTAACCAATTTACAGGGTCTTAAAAGCTCTCCAAGAGCGAGACTTAGAAAAAAAAATGACTTCTGAGTCAACGCTAATGACTCCAATTACTGAATTTGTGAATAGCTGTTCCCTGGCTTCTGGAAATTAGCCCAAGTTCAATAGCAGAAATGTGGCTGTGGGTAGAGGGTGGGAGGAACGGAGAACCAGCCCTCCCCCACCCCATCCCATGACTATTTCCTTGCCCAGTCAGCATGGTCAGCTCAGAGATGGGAGGGCTTGGGAGGGGTAGGTGTACCGGGTTTCTTCTGCTGCCCACCCTAGCTCTTCTAACATCTGTGTGGTCTTAGTTATGCAGTTCGAGCACCTTCCTTCCCCTAAAGCTCCAGTGCCTCCCCTTCTCCCTGCTTCCTTCCCAGATTTGCCATATACACCATCCTCAGCCCTGTTGGACACCTTTTATGACGCCTTCCACAGACCATGCTCCTTATACATGTCCGGGCACTTATTGCAGTGTCCCAAGCAAGGTGAGGACTCCATGTTCAGAGTTTGAAGCCTTGCAGTACATACACAAGCCGCTATGGAAGAAATAAATAAAGGTTTCTGTGATTGAGTAAGTTTGGGAAGCACTGCCCTAGATGCCCCTTTTTATAGATTCACAGTTCAAGTTCAGTAAGGTGAGCTCCAGGAAGCCTTGCAGTGAGGTGGAGGCTCTTCATTGAGGCAACAGAGCCTTCCTGGTGCCCTGAGAAATGTCACCACCAGCCTTCTTGGGACTCTCACTAAGCAGATTTTAAGTCATTTGCCCCCTGCCCTAGCCCCCACTTGCTTCCCCAGCTATGTAGGTCAGACAATGGATCCAGGTGTAGTGCCTTGATCGAGCCATGAGGTTCTCCCTCCCACTCAGTCCCTGATGAGTTAAACAAGACTGTCTAGGTACCCAAGTTGGGGTGGGGTATTTCTATACTCTCCAGCCTCAGAAAGAGCCTCTGCCTGGGGAGAGGGAAGGGTAGAAGTCTTAAGAGATGTTATCAGGAGCCCCAAACCTGTGGCTGTGCAGGCATTGTAGTCTCAATACAGTCACCAGTCTCAGTACACCCCTAGGGGACAGGCTTTATGACAGACCCCAAACTGCTGTGCTTCTGCCATTAAGATTCTATTAATGGCTCATTAGTGGCCTGAGGACAAGGAGGACAGGGAGATGGCCCCACAGCAGGACCAGCTTGACTTGTGTGCTGGGGGACGCAGGATTCCAGGCCTAGCCGTGGAACCCGCTCCCCAGCCATGAGACCCTTGAGTAAAGCTCTGCCCGGGAAGCTGTGAAGGTGGGAACACAAGCATTCTGACCAGTAGATCATTGTTACTAATATAGTGCAGGGCACTCAGTAGATGCTCAGCAAATAAATGCTTATTCAGCACATCTACTCTGCCCAGCAACTAGCTTATATACGTAGTAGGTGCTTTAAATATTTGTTGTGTGGGTGGGTGAATGATTATGCCTTTCTCCTCTCTATGATCATTATGCTACTTCTGATACTTTAGAAAGTATTGAAGAAACACAAAATATAGCCACGTGTGGTGGCTTACGTCTGTAACCTTAGCACTCAAGAGGCTGAGGCAGGAGGATTGCCTTGAGTTCAAGGCCTACAGTGACAGACTCTGACTCAAACAAGTTTGTTGAGGATGTTTACATTGCCCTCATAGCATACACGATTCTTAGAGGAGCTAGAAAACGCTGACCTACTTGGCAGGTAAATATGATTTGCTAAGTTGATCCTATGTTAAGTCTCCCTCCTCCCCTACCTTGTCTTTTTTGGGAATTTGGTTCCCCCCAGAGTCCCAAGGGTACAGTTGCCATCTCATTCTTGTTTCAGCCGGAGGAGGGTTAGGGTCAGTGAGCTGCCATGCTGAAGTTGGGTGACAGACAGGAAGGCTGCCTGTCAATCTCTGAGCTGCCCCCAGGCTGAGTGAACATTGCATTTCACTCTTGGTGCTGGAGAATGGCTGACTATTGATTTAAAAAAAAAAATGTCCCTCTGTGCTTTCCAAATTAAGACGACATTTAACTGAGTGCTTGCTGGCTTGCCTGCTCTCTCTGTCTCCCAGGGGACAGAGCCCATCTTGGTGAAAATTGTTTCAAGTATGTCCAAAGCCTTAGCTTTGACATCTTGGCTGATGTCAAGAAATTTCTGTAACCTTCCTGTTCAGCACACCCAGTTCTGTCACCATATGTACTGCCTCACTCTGAGCCCATTGCAGAGAAAAGTGCTGGTGTCAGCGCGCTAGGAAGAGATGCAGGAAACGGCACCAGCCCTCACACTACTCCCCCACTTTGACAAAACAGCATTGCTCAGGAGTTGTCTGGGTTCTGCAGGGAGGGCTGAGGACAGAGTTAGAGGGCTGCAGTGGTCCTCAATCTTAGTGAAGTCAAAGTCCACTTCGAAAATCTGATAAAGCTCTATTCCAGCCTGAAGGAGAGTGCATCCCATCCCTGCTCAGCATGCAGTTTAGCCATTCATAGACCCTGAAGCCCAGACACCATAGGCTAAGAAACTGATGGAAGCCAGGTATAGTGGCTAACACACCCGATAACACTACTCAAGATGCTGAAGCAGGAGAATTGCCACTGCTAAAGAAAATAAAATTGTAAGTGGCTAGGCATGGTAGTTCATGCCCTTTAATCCCTGCAGTCGGGAGGCAGAGGCAAACAGATCTCAGTGAGATCAAGGACAGTCTGATCTACCAGACTACCAGGGCCACACAATGCGACCCTATTTAAAAACAAACAAACAAACAAACAAACAAACCCACTGTAATGTACAATATATTAAATCCCAAATTCCTGATCCCAGATCCTAGCTTTTCAGAAGACCTGCTGTTTCGCCTTGTGCAAGTCTCCAGTTGTTTCATCTTTCCATGTCCTTGGCTATAAAATGAAGAACTGAGAGCTGGGTGTGACAGTCATGCACTGATAATCCCAGTATTTAGGAGGTAGAGTCAGCAGGATCAAGGATTCAAGATCATCCTCAGCTCTAAGGAAGAGTTGAGGCAGTGAAAAGTTCAGACCCTGTATGTCTGCAAGTGGTTTAGTGTCTCGGAGCCATGCTACATAGACTTTTACAGGTCATGTTTCCTTAAGAATCTGATGAGAATTTTGTATCTTCTGCTCAGATATACTTACATACAAAGTTCTGTCTGGTATACAGGGTTCCAAGAACCAGAGCTTTACAACTACAGTGATGCAATGGTTTACTCTCCCTCCCTCCCTCCATCCCTGCCCCCCTCCTCTCTCGGTTTGGTTTTTTGTTTTTGTTTTTGTTTTTTTTTTTTTTGACACAAGATTTTTCTGCGTGGCCCTGGCTGTTCTGGAACTCACTCTGTACACCAGGCTGGCCTCAAACTCAGAGATTGGCCTTCCTCTGTCTCTCAAGTGCTGGGATTAAAGATGTGTGCCACCACTGTCTGTCTGGCTTGGCTTAGTGTTTCCAATGATGGAGTTTCAGCCATGGTTCTAGTGTTCCTAGGTCATCTCCCCACATCATCTCTCCTCCACCTGCAAATCCACTAACAACTTGTGAGGTCATCATGGTCTGGGTTTGTTCTATAGTCTTTAAACTTTGTTTTTACATAGTAGAACTATTTCCCCACAATGAAGTCCTACCTGGAGAGTCAACATAAATAAAAGGAAACTCTGAAGCATTTGTTTACCCATTTATTCAGTCATTTATCCACTCAACAAGTATCTCTAGTGTCATCTGTGCCAGTCATCTGGCTGGACAAGCTGGAGCTCCTGTCTGCTTGGTTTTCATAGCCTCTCTCAGTGACCTGGAACCCAGAAACTCTGTGAACCAGCTGGGAAATTCCAGGTCTCCTATGATCACACTGATCTGGTGTAAGGCAACAAGAGACCCAGACCTCACCTTTGAAATGCTTAACTCTTCTGGTCTCATGCTGCTTATCTGTAAGATGGACTAACACTGCATTCCAAGTGTGTGCAACTGTCACCAGCCCTCAGTGGGAACACAGCTGGCCCTGAAGAGGACAAGTGAGGCAGACACTATCTTCTGCCTTCACTGTCCAGGAGAGCACCTCATGCTATCCTAAACTAGCTGTGGCTGCTTGGAAATTTCCAGGAACAAAAAGCCTTGGGAACATATTAGCTATTTCTTCACTCTTCCCACCCCTGGTAGATTGGCTGCTGTCAGTAGGGATTTCATAGTCCCAGTTCACATACCATCCTCTGGAGCCTCAATTCCCAGACCCAAACCTGCTAATAGAGAAAGACTTCCCCCACTGGGGTGCCACATAAGATGACTTCTGCATCTGAAGGGCCTCAAAAGGAAAAGGGGACTGGCATTGGGCAGATGCAAGCTCCTTTTAACCCATGCTTGTAAGCAGGCAGACATATGGGCCTGAATACTTTCTATCTGCAAGTCTTCATCTCAGGGACTTTACCTTTTCTATTCCTTAGTTGGCAATCTAGTGCCATGGTTGATGGCATGGGCTTTGGTGTTTGGCCAACCTGAGCACAAATCCTGGCTCTGCCTCTATTCCCTGCTCACTCCTGGGAAGGACGCCTTTTCCAAGCTTCATATCTGTGAAATGGGTATAATAATACCACCAGCCTAGCACTGTGGGAAAAATCAAATGAAAGCCTAGTGCCTGGCTCATATAAATACTCTATTTACAGTCTTGCTTTACTTGGTCCTGATTTTCCAGCTGAGAAGCATATTGTTGGATCACATAGTGGAGTGGGGTCAAGGACACACATGTCCATCATCTGTGTGCTTGTCACCGTGAACCGTTGGACCCCCCCCTGCCATGACCCAACAGTGGTTTCATGCCAGGAATTAGATGACCAATAGACCTCACTCTGGTTCTCTGGCAAACAGGAGAACGAGCTGTAGTTTTTTTCTTTATTAGTAGGTCAGAGAGCATTGCCTGGCTGCTCTACCTCCAGTCTCCAGTGAGCACCCCTTGCTTATGATCCTACACTGTGGCATCTGCTCCTCCTGAGGCCAACTCTTTACACTCTGTGTTTTACCACAAACTCCTTGGTGAGAAACAAGCTGTCCCTGTCCTCCATAAAGCTCAGCCACAGGATCTGTTACAAGGTCTGCTCTAGCCAATTGCCTGTTAGTTCTCCTCTGTGGGATAGAGCATCAGTCACCCTAAAGTTAGAGGAATTCACTCTAGCCAGTGAATTCCACAATTTTAGAAACCAGCTCGCTCTCTGAGATCCTCAAGGCCTGAGTTACTCTAACATCCAGGGGACATTGGATCCAAGGCATCGGAACCAACCATGTTCATAGATTCCTGCCATGGCCAAGTCGGCCCTCTTCCGCCTTCTTTCTACCCAGCTGTGCTTCCGAGCTGGAGGCCCCACTGGTGGCCAGGTCTAGACTGAGGGTCCTGCCGCACACTGAGAGCCGCCGCAAAGCCGCGGATGCAGCCTCCACTGGCACCGTGTGCTGCTCCAACAGCATCTCCAGCAGCGAGCTCATCTCTGAGACGAACGTGCTGGCCAGGCGCGTGCCTGTTGGGCTTAGCTCCGGTCCTGGTCCGGCTGTTTTGCCGAATGTCTGGAAGGTTCTCGGTTCCTCTGAAGCTGCAGCGTCAGGGGAAGACAAGTTGTCTCGGTAATTTGAGGTGAGGGGCAATGACAGTCTCGCCATCCAGGCTGGATCAGGGGGACTCAGCTTGTCCAGGGCCAGACCTGCAGAGGAAGGAGGGACACCGTGAGTTCCAGATGCAGGGAAGGGCAGGGAAGCCAGGTGGGGTGGGGCTGTAAGCAGGACAACAGCAGCGGACAAAGAAGGAAAAGGAAATGGTGGGGGACACACTACGGTGAGAACCGGACAGGAAGGAAGAGGCCTTAGCCGGCAAGCTCCCTGGAAAGCTGCTGACCAACGCAGCCGGAAGAACCTGGTTTGGAGGAGGCAAGAGGATAGATAGGATTACCCTGGCATGGAGGAGCAAGCACATCAGGTATCCCAACACTTGGGAAATTGAGGCAAGAGAGTCACAGTAAATTTGAGGCCAGCCTCACCTATACTTTAAGTTCCAGACCACCCAGAGACCCTATCTCAAAAACAAACAAAACAAAACAAACAACCAAAGGCTGGAGAGATGGCTCAGAGGTTAAGAGCACTGATTGTTCTTCCAGGGGTCCTGAGTTCAATTCCCAGCAACCATCTATGAGATCCGGTGCCCGCTTCTGGCCTGTAGGGATACATGCAGACGGAACACTGTATATACATAATAAATAAATCTTCAAAAAAGAGAGAAAATAACCACTTACAAGAAATTGCATAATTATCTCATTTCACCTACTCAGGCATTTGAGGTCAAAAGTCTTATCTCCATTTTAAAGAGGAGGAAATTTACCCTCAAAGAAGTCTTGTTTTCCAGTCATCAAAGTCTGATGACTTTGAAGGCACTGGTACTCCCCATCCCCTCCCACTCTCTAGGAGGCATGGCCTTCTTGCCCCTGGGTGCTCCTCAGATCCGCCTCTGGAATTCCCAGGGCTGTCACTGCCTGGCCCCTATCTCATCTCCCCTCACATTGTTACTTATCCTGGCCTCGTGTCCAGCTGCCTGAGGATGCCCTGAGGAAGGAATGGGGCAGCGGTAGTGAGAGCCTGGTGTTGGTGGCTTAAAAAAAAAAAAAAAAAAAAAAAAAAGTCCCCCAGATTCTCATGCCACCGTCACACTTCTTTTCTCATTTCTCCATCAGAAAATCCGGTCTCAAAATAATACTTTAGGAACTGGATGTGGTGGCACATGCCTGTGCTCCCAGCACTCAGGAGGCTGAAGCAAGAGGATTGCTGGGAGTTCCAGGATAGAATAGGTTACACAGAGCACTAGGCCAGCTAGAACTACATAAAACTCTTTCTCAAATAGCAACAAACATGGATTCCAGCCCCAAAAGCAAAGACAAAGGGGGGGGGGGGGAGGAAATCCAGTTTCTTGCGTCGTCGTCTTTTTTTTTTTTTTTAGTTTTATTTATTTATTTATTATGTATACAATGTTCTGTCTGTATGTATCCCTACAAGCCAGAAGAGGGCACCAGTTCTCATTACAGATGCTTGTCAGCCATCATGTGGTTTCTGGGAATTGATCTCAGGACCTCTGGAAGAGCAGCTAGTTCTTAACCACTGAGCCACCTCTCTGGCCCCCTGGTTTCTTGCTTATGAAACACACACACACACACACACACACACACACACACACACACACACACACACACACACACACACACGAGAGAGAGAGAGAGAGAGAGAGAGAGAGAGAGAGAATGTTATTGTTAATAGGCATTCAATGCTTGTTTCAGGTTAGTCGTTTTAAATCTGTGCAAGAAGAAGATGCTGGAAGAAAATAGGTAAAATATTCACTGGAATTCTCTGGGCAATGATTTGTTGGTTTGCCTATATTTCCTACATTACCAGAATGCTACTTTTGCAACTTGAAAAGGTCATTCCAACATGCAGCTAATCATTTATTTGGATCTGTGAATGATCCCCTGGTTCTCAACTGTACAGGATGGGGTGTCTGGCCCCCTGCCTGGGATTTGGTGATTGTCCATTGTATGATTAATGAACATGACTGAGCCTTGACATTGGCAGACTGTAAACATTAGTTCCCTGAGACTCTGAGACATAAGACTTGGGATTCTTAGTAATACAGACTCCAGCCTTTCCTTATTCATGGTCCAGAGGAGAATGAGAAATTATGGAGCATGTAAGAACAGCTGCAAAGTGATGATGAGTTCACTGTGAAACCTTCATTACGAATTCAGAGAGCTCAGTGAATTCAGTGAGTTCATGTTCATAAAATACACCCTCCCCATGTGTGTAGGCAACCAGAAGTCAGTATCAGATGTCTCATTCCATTTCTCTTTTTCTTTTTTGAGATGAGTTCTCATGTTGTAGCCCTGGTTGGCTTGGAACTCCTTATGTAGACCAAATTAGTCTCAAATTCACAGATACCCACCTGCCTCTGCCTTCTGAGTACTGGGATCAAAGGGTGCTCCACTCACTATGCCTGACTTCCAACTTATTTTTTGAGACAGATTCTCTCACTGAACCAGGAGCTCACAATTCAGCGAGGCTATCTAGTCAACAAGTCCCCAGGGACCTCCCCACCCCCAGTCTCTGCCTCCCCAGCACTGAGATTACAGATGTGCACTGTCATGCCTGGCTTTTACATGGGTCTTTGGGGATCCAAATTTAGATCCTCAAACTTTTGTGGTAAACATTTCCCCCACTGAATCATCATTATCACTTCTTCAGTTTTTGTTTTGTTTTGTTTTGTTTTGTTTAATCTGGTCTCTAAATCCTAATCTCTCAGTAGCCCTGGGGCATCTAGTTCTTAGATAGCAAATCTTTCCCTCCCCTTTTTCAGTCTTCCCAACTCACATTGCCCAGTGCCTTCTGGGCTGTGAAGAAGCAGGGCAGGTCAAGAACTGAGCCATCTGGTTCTAGCCACAGCTGGCCAATGAGAGAATGCAAAAATGTAGCCACCAACCATATGTGGGTACTGAGCCCTTAAAGTGTAGCTCATATGACTAAGGACTCAACATTTCATTTTATTTAACTTCATTTAAACTTAAATGGCCATATGTGGTGGCCGGTGGCTACCATATTGGACAGCACAGCTCTAAAATTTAGAACCATATTGCCTATATTAATAGCCATTAGTTGCATGGCTCTTGGAAAATTATTAAACACTCTTGACCCATAGCTTTATTTTTTTCCCCAGAGAAACTTACAATAGGTGACTTGCACTTAAAAAGCACTTTGTTGATGCTAGTTATGGTTTTTAGCCCCAGAAGTGGCAAAAGCTGCCATGCCTTGCAGCCAGATGGAACCTGTGAGGAATAAATTAACTCCAGAAACAGAGAATGGGATGGTCAGGGGTAGGGTGTGTCACCTAAAGGAGGTGGAGACCAGTTCCCAAAGAAGGTGTGTGGCTGGCAGAGTCTTGCATTAAAAATTGTATTATGTTTATAGTTAAAACTATTTGCTTTGCTTTCCTTTCCTTCTTCTTCTTCCTCCTCTTATTTGTTTATTTTTATGGTGTCTTATGTAGTTCAGAATAGTCCCAAATTCATCAAGGATGACCTTGAGTTTCTGACCCTCCAGCCTCCAGCTCGAATGCACTGGGATTACAGGATGAAACCAACAGGCCGGGTTAATGCAGTACTTGGGAATAAACCCAGGATCAGGCAAGCACTCTACCAACTGAGCTCCATCCCAACCCAAAACTATTTTTTTTTTTTTTTTTTTTG